AAAAACTGTGACCTGATTATGAGTTTCTGCATCAAAAATGTGTGAGATTCTTCAGAAATTTGCGGAAGCAATTCAGTTTTTGAGCGTCCAGATTGCCTGTAATTAATCACTTATGGCCCTGCAAATGATAGAAATATGAGAATTCAAAGTGTGAGTACCAAATGTGCATTTCACACTAGGCAGTTGTTCTCAAGAGCTGGTTTTTTGAAAATTTGGTGTAAAATTCTGACTATCCTACTTTCCGGCACGATTTCATCATCAAAGAAATAATTTTTGCTCAGACAGAATGCCTTACAATCATAATCGATCAACTCTTTCCGATGATACCACATCTTTACACATCTCGCCTGTATTATTAGATCGTTCCGAAAGTAATGTCGCTTTTTTGAATGAACGCCACTATTCGTGGAATCAACATTTTTGAAAGATCTTAGGACCATACGATGCAGCATTCCATCCTCTTTCTGGTGGTTACAATTTAAGTGCATAATGTTTAATGAGCTCTCGAAAAATTACCAAAATCTGCGTTTCATGCTTTTTGCCATGGTCAAGTTTGGCTATTTTTCTAAATTTTTGCACCCAATCTCCGAAAAAGTGCAAGTGGCAGGTAGAAGAGCAAACAATATAGAACACAAAGTAATTTTTTCTTTTCCTTAGCTTGCTTCTCAGAGTTTCTACAATCAATTTCTCAATGCCATCAAATTCCATATTTAGTCAAGTCAAACCTCACAGAACAACAACCGGCAAGCGACTCGGTTGTTATTCGATGCAGCTTTTTCTCCTCTTTCTAGCGATTGTTTTTGTCTCCGATTCGTCAAGTTTTCCGGGATAAAATCATCATAATTTAACTTTTCCAAGGCATCCCAAGGTGTACCCGAAATTTTCGAAGGTTGCTAAACCGAAGAGGTGAATGCTCTTTGGTTTGTAAAATTGTTGCCAAACCATAATCCATCTTTGTAAGTTTCAAAATCCGAAGACTTGTTGGCGTTTGATGCACTTGTGTTTGAGATGAGCCTGCTAAAATTCGGCGGTTCCATCAAAACATCTATAAAAAAGTTATGACGAGCTAAAAAGTTGCGCTGTTTCCTGCAGGGTTTGCTCTATCCATCCATCACTTGGATTCTTTCCGAAGGTTGTTATAAAGATTTAAAAATTGTGAAACTTGGCCTTCTCAAAAAGCATGAGTCGCAGATTTTGATAAATTTTCGAGAGGTTATTGAATTTTGTGCTGTGGTTAAAAAACCGTTAGAAAGAGAATGAAATGCTGCATCAAATGTTGCCAGAATCTCTTACATATCTTTGTTCCACGAGATGTGGCATACGTTTGAAAAAAGCGACATTACTTTCGGAACGACCTAATATTTCTACAAAACTTTGAAAGCGACCGAAATAATTTTTCAGCCAACCTAATAAATGTGCAGATTTATCTTGCAGGCATCTTGTAGGTAGAAGTTACAAAACCAAATGGTATTGCCAACTCAGCAGTAAAAACATGTTAGTGCACTCTTCGTCTGCACATCCAACAAAGGTCTATTGTGGGCAGTATAAAACAGTTTTGCTCCTATGTTCCGACAGCGACAAACGATCGTATTCCATCTCCTTAGCACAAAAAATTGCGGCTTTTAATGATTATTCTACACGTCACAACTTCGGAGCACGCGAGTCTGCTCGCAGCAGAACCCATGATATTAGTGCTGACAACGAAATTTCCAGTTGCCTGCCATTTATTTTTGGATGCAGTACAGTGGGGTGATGTGTACATCAGGTGGGCTTGTACGGTGTTGTGAAAAGGATCATTCCTCCCGCTGAACTTGAACGACTCTTGGATGTACTACTCCTAACTGCATGGTTTGCCTGCTAGATACCTCGGGTGGAGGAACGAACACCTCAATTAGACACCGCCTCCGCGGACCACTGGTCCCAACACGATGCACAGCAGTTGGACGAAAGGACCAGCAGCCCGCGGAGGCGATGCCTCTTAAGGCGTTCGTTCCTCTACCCGCTACCTCCATATACCACCATGTATAGCAAACGGGCACCCATGCAGTTGGGCGTAGCACATCTAAAAGTCGTTTGAGTTCAGCGTTGTATGCTATTCGAAGTTATCATCTCATTACATGCCTATCATGCAGCGATACTTTTACTAGCGAAAAAGAGCGCCCGCTTTGCTTTTGCGTTAAGGAGCATATAGGCGGTCTGAATATTAAGTCCTTCCATAAGTTCGTAGCGTTTCGTCCTCATATCTTTGAGGAGCGGTTAATTTGCGGCAAGATGCGTATATCATTTGGAAGGGCTGGTTGTGCTCTTTAAAACACGCCTACTAATTCCGGTGGGAAGCTGATTAACTCGGATCCAACAGCTTCCTCACGAAATCTTGAAAGGCAAAAAGCTTGTAAAAAGAAGCGCTTTTGCAGAGATTTTTG